GCAACTAGTTTTGATTATCACCATTTGCTTGTTGATCCATGTCAGGGATCTGCAACCTATTAAAATGAAATAAAAACTTGTTAAAAATGAAAGAGAACAGGTATTTTTTTTTAAATATAACTTTAATAACAAATACAGTAGATTTTAGAAAAAATGCTAAAATGTTTTTATTGATGAACTGCCATGACTTTGTGCAAGATAACGGATCTGTTTTTTTTTTTATGTTTTTATCATTAAGGTTGAAAAAAATGTCCTTTGTGACACAATTTTCCACAAACATCAACATCCCATGTAAAAATAAGATATACAACCTTTTGCAAGAACTGTTTGTCTTTTTTTTTTGTTTCCACAAATAATAAAATGTTGGTACGCTAAATGAAAACACATTTTCTTTAGAAGATATTTTTCCAAATTTGTGTTGTCTTTTTACAGAAAGTGTTGATTTTTGACACTAAATATGTTGTATTTATCCAGACTGAGAGAAAGAACGGTTCTTTGAATGTAGTACCGGTAATTTCCAAATCTCTCCTCCATGCTCCACCTTAGGTCAATTTGATTCACCTTCACCTTCAATTTGATATAGACTTTGGGGTAATAATTATATCATCAGCCTCATCAAAAGACATATCAAGTAGTTTTCTTTCCAAAAATTCAAACACAGTTAACTAATTAAGATAAATAGCAGTGAAACTATAGTTTTCTTTAGACTTAATCATTTTATCTGAAGCAGAATTGACTATTCAAGCCTTGAAAAGGGACTTAAGAGTATCCAAGCAATTCCATGAAGTTACATTTTCCATCAGCCAGAATATTGTTAGGCAACTCGTTCTTTTTTTCTCTTAAACTGAAGGTAAGCTGTAACTTTAAGCTTCATATCAAGACATTCATGCTGCTCCGGAGGCCAATGTGTCTGAACAGTAAGTCAAACTTTTTCAAAGTGTCAGGCAGAAGTTGCAACTGCTTCGCCATCAAAAGTTATGGAAAGGTAGCAGAGTGAGACCGCCGAACACACGGCATTGACGGCGGGTTATTCCCCGAACAGCAGCGACAGCAGCAGAAATAGTGATTTACTGCAGAGGCATAAACAAAACAGCTCCATCTCTCGCTCTAAAACCTCCCTCCTCTCCACCTCCTAACCTGAGTGTCCACAATTCCTGTGAGGAAGACAAACATCGATCTGAGTTACAGCTTCAGTCCACGGAGAATCGCTGTGGTCGGCACACACACACCCACACAGACAACCAACCTCACAGCCTGCGGCTTAAAGTTTCTAAACTCTTCTGCCATCAGACACCATTTATATTCACACTATAATACATAAAACCTTTTATTTTCCAATCTGCCAGATATATGTGGCTGACGTGTATTTGTCAAAAAGTGTTCAGTGGTAAATTTTCAGTATATGCAGATTTTCCCATATGAACTATAGATGTTTTTGTTTGGGAGAAAAAAATCTCAAACCATCACTGCCTTGCAGAAATTTCACAACTTTTACTGATGCATGGTATATGTATAAATCATTTTGCTGCTTTATTTCCAACCTATAATCCACAATGTGCTTTTGGTTCCCCTAAAGGAATTTGAATAACCCTAAATTAGCAACCTGGGGATATTGAAAGGCCATATCGAGGTTGAATACATCCATAATCAGATCCCTTTTGTTCTTTTCTTCACGTTTCACTGTGCATGCACTAAATAAAATAAACAACAGATTAGTCCTTGACTTCAGAGTTGCTTGCAGAAGCGGGGATATTTTATGCCAAGGTCCTTTCCCGCTTGTTTGTCTCCAGTGGTGGGCGGTGAAGGTGGACCATGGTGTGCCTCCTGGCTCCAGCTGCCCACGCTTCATTACTTTACCTCAGATTACAGAGTTTATGAGAAGAGTGTGTGTCTGTGCAGTAGGCTTCCTCTAGTTTTCCTGGCCTAAGCTGCAAACATTGACTGAGACCAGATGGAGTTCAATGAGCTACCCTAGATGAAATCACACTCATAGCCCTGTTTTTTATAATAGAATCACACTTCCACTGCCCCACTCTAAGACTCAATTGACAGACTGGGGTTTTATGAATCACAAATACAAAGTTCTTATACTGTAAATTCAACACACATGTTAATTTATTATCAGGGTACAGCTGTTTACCGTAACCACTTACCGAACAGATGGCAGCGACTTTGTAGTTTTATAGCTGCAGTGCATAATTTTCAATGACATCTAATGGTCAGACGGCAGCGACATCAACCCCTCAGACAATACGAAAGCTGTTATTGTACAAAATGGCTTTCAAAATATCCCCATCACCTTTTCTTGCCATGCGATGATCTCATTGGTTTATATTACAGATGCACAGATCAAGATTTGGGAAATGCTTGAATATTTTGTTGGAATTAAAGGAACAGCTCTAGACTGATTTAAATCTTATCTATCTGATCGATTTCAGTTTGTTCATGTTAATGACACATCTTCAACATGCTCAAGGGTGACCTGTGGAGTACCACAGGGATCAGTGCTAGGACCAGTTCTCTTTACTATATATATGCTCCCAATCGGTAGAATTATTAGACAGCATGGGATTAATTTCCACTGTTATGCTGATGATACTCAGCTATATATGTCTATAAATCCAGATGAGGCTAACTCATTACATAGAGGCATGTCTTTTTAGTCAGAGGCACGTCTTGAAGACATAAAAAACTGGATGACTCTTAACTTTCTGCTCATGAATACAGACAAAACAGTAGTTATAGTATTTGGACCAGAGTCATTGAAAAACAAGCTGATTAGTCAGTCAATTCATTTGGATGGGATTAAACTGATTTCAGATAATAAAGCAAAATTATTGCCACCTTGCCAGACAGGACACTGTTAAAAAAAAAAAAAAAAAAAAAGATAATAGAGCAAAAAATCTTGGTGTTATTTTTTTTTATCAGGACCTGTCATTTCAATCCCAGAGGTTTCTAGAATTTTCTTCATTCATCTGCTGATTATTGCAAAAAATAGCAATATCCTGTCCAAGGAGGATGCTGAGAAACTAGTCCATACATTTATTACTTTAAGGCTGGATTATTGTAATTCTTTACTATCAGGAAGTCCACAAACTGTAGTTAAAAGCCTTCATCTGATCCAAAATGCTGCAGCCAGAGTTCTGATGAAAATTAAAAATAGAGATCATATCTCTCCTATTCTAGCTTCTCTTCATTGGCTTCCTGTTAAATCAAGAATAGAATTTAAGGCTGTTTCTAAGTGGTAAGAGAAAGAAAAATATCTGTTTTACATAAATGCTTAAGTAGCTAGAAGATCTCTGTACTAACCCAGGATGGCATAGTAAAAAGGGAACTGAGCAGGATCAGTTGAGTACTGTGGGAGCGCAAAGAGGCCACCAGGTAGGAAATTCCACAGCAGGTGATTTCGGGACACATGAGCCTCCACTCGGTCCTGTATGATCTGTGGGAGGTAGAGAAAAAGAAAGCTAGTGATAGTTCAGAAAATGTAAAAAAAGAAATAATTTCCAAAAACACTCACATCCCGTTCTTAACATGCTTGTATGAGCAGAACATTTAATATCTATCTCTATAAAGAAACATAACTTGTCCAACAGATTGTAGATAATAGCTTAAAGTTCTGATGAAATGAAAAGGAAGCAGCTGCTTGGTAGCATCTGGTGTGCTGGGGAAGTCTCTCCAAGGGTTGTTGCTTGTTTTGAAGTTCTTCTCTTACATTGGAGTCAATTTAACCCCAACATGAGCTGATCATTTGTTATACAGCTAATAATATCCATCTGGGTTGTTACCATAGGTCAGAACATTTCCTCTGCTGTGGCTTCAGCGTAAGATAAATGACACATCTTACAGTACTCCAAGCAATGCATGTACAAATATCATATAAAGGTCTTTTTCTTCCTCTAAATATGCAGTTGCAAAAAAAATTCATGAACCAATTCGGTTTTATGGTAAAACTGAAAATTGTCCAGATGTTTTGAATAAACAAATTACACATTAAGAGTTTAAATAGTTAAATAAAACTAATAATATAGACATTTTATCCATTTAAGCTCTTAATTCTATTTTTAAATAACTCATGCTGTCTAAAAGACATTAAAACCCCTGAATAATAGTCTTTATTGTAGTACCTTTTAAAATTTGAGTGACTTTTGTGGTCAGAAGGGCTTAAAGGTATAGTGGTTTATGTTCTTTTTCCGGTTGGATCATCAAAATAAGTGGTCCTCCTAACTGTCAATCATTCTGGTTATATGTTTTTACATAAGGCCGTCTTACATGCTCTTCTCCGTTTTAACTTAGTGAGTCTGACATACTTGAAAAATTGCAAATCTTCTTCTGGAAAGTAAACTTGTATGAGCGATGCAACAGCAACTTAAAAGAGCAAGCATGAAGAGAAATGGGCTTGTCGCATACGTTTAATAGCCTTTCCCTCGGGAGTGGGTATAGGGTTGTGTATTCGCATTTTTTGTCTTTATTTTTTTGACAATTTAAAAAATTTGCGAAATTCTTCCACTACACTTATTAAATTATCGTAAATTATTTTAAGAAATAAAAATAATTCATGTTTTTTTTTAAATGGAAACCTTAAAATACATGAAATGTTGATAGCCTTGGAAATTATAAAAAGAACAAATGCCTCTATTGTCTTGTGAGAAAACAATGAAATATACTCTGACTGTACCTAAAGTAAAGCATGGCGGTGGCTTGCAGTGGAAACCTGCTGCAAGTTGAGAAGAAGCTGAATTTAAAATAAAAACTGGGGCTGTTAGTTCCAAGCTGGTGCCAATTCACAGGACATGGAATCTCAAGGCATTTACAGTAACTGTTTAATTAGATCATAGTCAAATTGGTTGAAAGCTTCTATCTAAGGAAACCTGGCTGATTGGCAAAAACCTGGCAGTGCATGACTGTCCGTGGACACCTTCAATTTCATACTCTGCTAGGGCTGGCCATTTGATGAAGCCACCAAGGTCTTTTTGCTAATGGTGTAAAGGTGGAATTTGGAAGCCCCACTTAATTGATTCAATCACAATTTACACCTGGCATCAGAAAAAAGCTTATTTTTGAAAGAATAGATTGTGAGATGCAAACCACTTTTTCCACATGATTCAATAGTGACATTTTTCCAGCTGTTTTTAATATTTGCATCATTTCCTTTCTGTGACTGCAGCTTTTTGTTTGTGCTCACTTGCAGCATTTTGTTGGCGGCTGAGGTATATTCAGTTTGCAACTTTTTTTGTTGATTGTAGGTTTTTTGTTCTAGTTTTTGTGATTGCAGCATTTTGTTTGCAGCTTTTTTCTTTTGCATTTTTTTGTGTTTGCGTCTTTTGGGGTTTGCATTATACGTGTAGCTTATTTCCCCATTTTCTGCGTGATTGCACCTGTTTGTAGCGTGCTTCTTTCTTATTTGCATTGCATTTCTTTTTTTTTGTGTGTTCTGGAGTTTGCATAACATATTTTTGCAGCTTGTTTTGTGGTTTGCTATGCGTTTGCAGCTGTCCGTGGTTGTAGTTTTGTAGTTAAACAACACTCTTCTTTTAAGATGTTTGAATAAATTTGTTGACTTCATTACAATGTTTAGGTTTAGGTTCTCTCACTGAACTCACTGATTTGGTCAAGAAAAATGATTTCTCTTTTGGTCCAATCAGTCTCCTCCTTTCCTAAAATGTTGTCATTCGTACAACAGGTTCACACTTGTTAAAGTAGTTAGTTTGAGCTATTTTAATTTGTTTTAATCTTTCTTTGGTCCGTTTCAAGATTTTCAACTGAACTTGAGCTTTGACTATTGCATTTGTTCTTATTCTGCCCTTTCTGGACTTTATAGACCTTTAAGTTTTCCTTTTAGGTTTTCTCTTACACTTTAATTTATGTCATTCTGTGTTTTCCAAGTCATTAGTTTCATTTCCATTTAGTGTCTGTTGTGTTTCTTGTTTACTCTCTGTTGCCCCCTTGTGCCAACCTCCTTTCCCCCTACCTCCCTTCTAGATCTTTCTGTGCACACCTGCTCCCAATCAGTTGATCACTCCATTCATTGTTCTGTTTGGCATATATACTCCTCCTCAGCAGTTACTGTTTACTGGATTCTTTTTATTCCTTATGTTTTTGTCTCCTGAGCGTCTCCTACTTTTTTTTTATTCCTGAGTTCCTTTCTGGATTATTCTGTACAATATACCTCTTAATTAGATCTACAAGCTCTGCATTTGGGTCCTTTACAAACTCCACAGATCCTGACAGCTTTGAGTCTTTGACTTTACAAGAAATGGCCGTTGTGGATGAGTGAATGGCGACAATGGTGCAAAACAAAACCACAGGAATGTACCCAAATGGAACTCTGACCTTAATTAGCTCCTTTTAGATGCAGAAGAAAGCGTCGAGTTTTAAACACTTCTTAGTTATCCAAACTCTTTACCCTATTATTTAGAAGGAATTCGGTCTTTCTACAGAGAAATGTTATTCCTCATTCTTCAGCCATACTCACATCTCATGGACTTAGTTTAATGGATTTAGTGATAATAATAATGTGTTCCACAGTACAGATTTGTGTCTCTTCTTTCTTACATTGTCATTCTAGGTAAAGTACCAGAATTATCACTGATACGTCACCAAATTCAAGCATTAATTCGGCCTCAGTGAATTACCATGCTTAGTGTTATTTATCAACTGCCATACTGACTGCTATGATCAAACATCCTAATTGATAGACTTGAAGTACTGATGCCAGTTTGGGGTTGACAAAGGATGAATATATAAATGGGAATAGTTTCCATGAAACCCACCACAAGCAGGTTATGTGAGCACCCAGACAACAGTGTGACTTGAACTTGATGATATTAGCTTTATTATTTGATTATAGACCTACCTCAGCCTGTCATACAGGACTTAAACACTGTTCATATGTATCAATATTTATAGCATAAGAGAAACTAAAATACACATTTTTATTTTGTTTTTCTTCATATTTCAAGTCTAACTGCACACCATTCTCTTGCATTCAGCTTTGTTTCACACAGAAACATATTAACACACCCACTGTTTGAAACTAAGTGCCAGGCTAGCTGCATGTGGGAAACTAAAGTTATCAACAACGCTCCATTACACCCATTTAGCCCGGTGACATGCTGGCTCCGGGGTTCTTTGCACATCTGGCCAGCAGTACATGACTGTCACTGGACATCTGTCTAATTTCATACTCTGCTAGAGCCGGGCATTTGGTGAAGCCACCAAGGTTTTTGTTTGTGCAACAGAAAAGCTGCCGTCTCATATCCCTTTATTAATCTGAGCATTTAATGTGGGATTAGCTAAAATATCACAATTTCCTCACAAAACTACTTAATAGCTCCATCTGTTTTTTCTTTTTATCAGACTGTTCTTTATGCAGTTACAGACTCTAACAAATTACATTTCAAAAGGGACTTAGCAGCAGATACAATGACTTTTCACTCCATAATTTAAACACTTCTGTATAGTACAACACTGACTTTAGAAATGTTTTATATTTTCTGTTATACTTTTTGTAAAAGGTTTGAGGTTATGCAAATATCACCAATGAGACAAAGTAAAATTTGGTGAAAGTTGTTCTTTAATGAGTTGATACCAAGCCTTATACCGATAACAAATGTTTCTAATTAAGTTCAATAGAAAAATTCTTTGGTACCAGAATTTCAATGTATTAGAAAAATTGGTCAAATCAGAAGTTTAGAAAATTGAGAAAGATTAGTCATTTCTTGCACCTCACTTTTAAAATCACTGAAAATAATTATTTTCTAATGTCCTGAGATAAATATTTTTTATCAATTGATGCTTTGAAAATAATTCTTAATCAAGATGTAAAACCATACATTTTCTGAATTAATAGAATTTTGTTTTATTTTAAACCACAGGGAAACAATAAATCTTGTATTGATGCTAGGATTTGGAAAAAACAGACACACTCCTTGCTATTTGTAAGGCACAGGGGAGGTTGAGCCCCTGTACTGTATAGCTTAGAGTGGGAAAAATGCTATAAAAATTGTGTTAGGAGCAGGTGTATCATAAACATGATGGTGAAAATGTTAGCATAGCCAATTAGCAGAACTAGCTTAATGAGGACATTAGAAACACTTAAACTAAGACTTAGACTCAACTTTATTTATCACTTGAGATTGCCCCTTCAGGGAATTTCTGGTTCCAGTAGCTTATATAGAGTACAAAGGACCGAGTTAAAGCAAGATGCCATTAAGATAAAAATCCAACAGACAATAAAAGAAGAGTGTATATAGTACAAGAAAGCATGAAAAAAGTTGTAATGTCCTGGAATATGTTTCCTTAAGATATAAAAATAACTGCACAGTAAAGAGCTAAGCAAGGACTTTGGTGAACCTAATATAACCAAAATTGAATTTAAAAACAAATGTGATAAGTTTTCACAAGGAATTATGCAAATTTAAGAAAGTAGTTAAAAAGGGTGAGTGTTGGGCTAGCTGTGTTCCAAGATTTCAGGATTTTCTTTTTTTTGCAACGTTTTTCTTTTGTTTTGTTTTTTTTGTTTTTTGTGTTTGCTTTTTTTGCAGTTTGCATTATGCATGCTCGCAGCTCATTTCGGCATTGCACTTGTTTGTAGCTTGTTTCTTTTTTGTTTGTATTTTTTTCTTTTGCATTTGTTTTTTGTCCTTGCATGTTTGGAAGTTTGCATCACACTTGTTTTTGCAGCTTGTTTTGTGGTTTGCTGAGTGTTTGCAGTTGTTGGCCACCGTAGTTTTGTAATTAAATAGCACTCTTCTTTTAACATGTTTAGGTTGATTTGGATTGACAATATTTAGTTTAAATCCTCTCAGTGGCCTCATTTATTTAGCCCAATCAGATAATCCTAATCTGGGGAATTTTAGAGCACTCCAAGATTTTCAACAGAACTTGAGCTTTGTTTATTTTCGGTTTTTGTTTTAAAATGTAACAGTCAGATGAAAAACTGAAAAGTTGATCTTTTCAGTTTTGTTTCATTATAAAGTTTTACAAAATTATCCCTTTATCCCCCTATCTTTTTTGCAAATGCAATAGACAATTTAAAAATCTTCACAGGATATGATCAGCAAGGTAGATGGATAGGAAAAGCTCTGCTCAGAGTATAAATGCTGGTTTAGACCAACAGAAATTTTAAATGTGATTGTGGAGATTAAATGTGCAATTTCAAACCTCAAGGTTTGACATTTAGCTTTATGTAGAAGTAAGGTTCTGGTAATGAAACAACCCAATGGAAACATTCCCAGGCATTTAGATAACGTATCTGTTTTAGCAGCTGAAGCCACGATACTGGGTATCTCTCAGGTCCAGACTGGGTAACGACATTTACCATTACATTTACCAATTTGAATATGGAAAGGAAAGTGATTCCTTAACTATGCGATCGAAAACCTAATGGCTGCAAACCTGTTTAACTTCTATAGGTTGATTAATTTGCCACTTTGGATACACTTTTCTACTAAAGCATTATTGGTTTGTCCCTTTTAGCTTTCATTTTTATGGACTTCTACAAATAAACATAATCAATGTCATATTGCCAAAGACATAAAACTTTCCAAACCCAAGATTGCGACCTGGGCTCTAGTAACACTATAGAAATTCAATTCAACAGTAATAACCAAACCAAGTTTTATAATGAACAGATACTGAACAGAACAATAACTGTTCTTATCGTTTGTCTGACATCCCTGTATCAGAAATCCTTCTGTTGGTTAAATTTATAAAAATAAATGTTCTGTACGTGGTTAGAATATGAGTTGCACCTCTTCAACTGATTTACTCAAATACATTTTCAGAGATTATGTAATTAATTGAAAAACTCTTGCTAAACTGTAGTATGGACCTCACAAATACAATATAAAACTTTGAGCGTGAATCTACTAAATTCATTTATTTTCAATTTCTCTGATGACATTCAAGCTTCAAACCCAACAGACCTTAAAAAAAGATGGTGAGCAAATATACAAATAGGAAAACAGCAATGGATAAAAACACAGCTGTCATCAGGAGACAGAAACTGTGAGGTCTTAACTTTCCAAGGTGATGCACAGCCAGGGGCAATGTACGCTACAGAACAAGATGTTTCAGTTTAGCTGATTAGACAAAGTCCTTCTGACAAACTAAACCCACAAACTCTCATCTAAGACAATTTTCTGCAAGCTTACCTCCAGAGTGGTTAAGACTATTTTGGCTACAGAGGAGAAGTAGGCGTCCCAAAGGAACTGGGTCTGTTGGCGGAGAGCCAGGATCCTGTCACGGCCCACGGATCGGGTAATGGAGGGAACCTGGAGCGAGAGCAGAGGAAAGCTGTTCAGATGACAGTGGGATAGATTAAGTTAGGTTTTAAACAACATGGAGTGAAAGGTAAAAATCGAGGGGGTGTAAAAAAATGGGTAGACAGGTGGAGGAAGCATAAGTTATTTAGTGGAAAGTAAAGATTAAAAGGAAATTTCCCCCTCAGGTTTGAGCCCCTCTAATTCCATCTTCTGTCCATCATTCAGCTTATTCTCAGGACATTTTTAAGCCGTATTCATGGCTAGGGTAAATAACAATAAGTGTAAGAGTTTTTTTTGTTTTTTTTTAAACAAAACTGCATTTCTGATCTGCTTATCAAATTGATCCCATGCTGACTGACATCTCCATTTAACAAATCTTTTAGAAACCTACACTCAATGCTTGTCAGACGTTCCATTGAACAAATTCTCTTGATTTCTTTGTCATTCATGTCATGCTTCAAATATAGGTGAAAAAAGCAATATCCAGAAAAATCGACATCAGCCTTCAAAGTTTAAAAATCTGCAAGAAAACCATTAAGGGCGTCCGAGTTCCCAAACTGTGGCTTAATCCGCACATCTCTGTTATCTAAAAACAGAAGAGTCTTCTCAGTTTACACAATCAGCTCTTCAAGAAAACAAATCAGCAGGAACACACAGGTCTCTGCAGCCAATTAAAATCAAACACTTTACTTATGTAGGCATTTTAATTCTATAAGACTATTGTATGTTCTGATCTTTTTTAGCTTATTATTTGTTCATTTTGGGTTTCGTATAAATACAGTCTGGAATAAATGTAATCCACAGTATACCCATAAGTGGTTAAACGAATACAGCCTAATTTTTATTACGACCTGATCTGAAAGAAGCAAAATTCTATAATGGTTCAAAATTAAACAGACAGATTAATTTAGCACACCACATTTATTTATGGATTTTAAATGCATTAGTAAATTAGACATAACTCAGCAACATTTGAATAATTGGTAGAGTGTTTCCAAGAGACCACGGGCATCAATAAGCTTTACTGGGATAAAATCAGTCTAAGGCGTGCTCATAAGTCCTAATTTAGTTTAGTCTCAGCTCTATGAAAAAAAGAGCATTTATCTTTTTTAGCTCTTTGAAAAACAAATAACATTTATCATTCAAAAAGATGAGGTCAAGAATATTCTCTACACAACAGCTCTAAAGTATTAAATACAAGTTTCACCAGGTACATTCTGCAAAGTTTAGTGTTTTATGAGGAACAGCGACACTAAAGCAGCCCAGATTTGAACTAAATACGTGAAACACACATTACTGGCTACTGTAACTTGATGCAGTTAGTTTTCCCTTTTTTACCTCCAGCAAGGAGGTTATTTCATAACCGTTGGTTTGTCATGTCTGTTAATAACTAAAAAGGTAATGGGCTGATTTTTATTAGGGGTGCATATCATGCCAATGAACAGTTAATTACATTTTGGTGATGACCCAGATATTAATCTGGATTAAGGCTGAAAGAATTAATCAGATAAATCGTTGTTAAATCATAATTGAAATTATTGTCAACTAATTTAATAATCCTTTTATCTTTAACTTGAGTGTAAACTCCAAAACATGCCTTTAGCGGACAGAGTAATCCACTTAGAGCAGTAGGTGTAACAAAATTCTAAAAAGATATATTAATATTTCGCATTTAAGATAAAAAAAAAAAAAAGTTTACCTCTTTAATTATGCTTTTTCCAGAACTCCACATGGAAACATTTTAGTTTCACCTGGTTTAATTCTGTAAAAAAATCTTCTCTAATGAACCATATTGCTAACCGATTGTTAATCAATCAAAGAATAATTGATGGATTAATTGATAAGCAAAATAATCGTTAGTTGCAAACCTAATCTGGATGCAAACCTAATCTGTTTTAAAGATTCTCTAACATTGGGAGTTAGGGAAATTTGATGGAACAAGCAGTTCCCCACTAAACCAGAGGGTGGCAGCAGTGAGTATTGACAGCTTCAGCATCGGACTCTAAATCCGGAGGTATTTTACTAGAGAGAAAAACAAAGGAAAAGGAAACATTGATAATACTTTTGCAGGATCAGTTGAAAACTTTAAACAAAATTTATGGATATATTTGTTTTTAGCAAGAGTTGTGCCTTATGCTAAGGAACAATTAATTTAAATTTGATAATATAACGACCATCTGTGTGTTTTAGCTATAGGTGTAATTAACAGTTTAGGGCAACATGTGCTGCTTGGTGGAGTTAAAAGTGCTTTTCTTGTAAGCAGAACCTTAGAAATGATTCTGTTGATTATCGTTAAAGTATCTTTACTAGAATGATCAACTGGTTGTCCAGACGCCGCCATCACAAGTTTGAGCTGCAAGCCTGCCTTAAGCTTTATAAATCTGACCATTATGCTTCTGCTGCTTATTTAGCACTTATTTATTTATACAGGAATTCTCACTAATATCCCTGGTCATATGTAAAAAAAAAAGTCCTGTTTGGATAAAACTAAACAAAAGAATAATGAAACACTTGAGACCAGTTTCCTTATTAATTTATAGTTTCTGCTATAAATAAAAATGGTAACTTAGCAACACTTTAATCCTCCTTGTCAGTCTTGCAAGATCCTCGTGTTTCATCTTTTATAACCAACCAAGTGGACCTGATCCCAACAGTAGCAGTGCTTTACCTGCCTTAATGGCTGCATTTTTGTTGCAGAATCTGATCCTTATTTGATAATTTTCATGAAACTAATAATAGATTATCTTGTCAAACCATCAGAGGCCACTTCACCTATGGTAAGGTTTTGCATTAGGATGAGTTTATGCCGAAGATACTTCAGAGGTGTACAGTGACATCAGAAAATAACAGAAATATTTTTTCATCCCCAAAAGAATCCAAATCTTTTTAAAAAAGAAGATCTTTTTGCATTTGCTGCATTATTAGAAAATTAGAACCTAAAATGAAAATCAATAGAAATGAATTACTATATGTTTATTTTAACTAACAGGTATTGAGTGCTTCTGATGTCTAAGGGGCTCTTTACCCACTTCTCTTTAAATTTACTGAATAGAAGTCACCATAGTAACTGGTAGGTTGTAAAGACATACAAGGGTAAATATTTCCATCAGAACCAGTGTAAAGTGTGGGATTATTCTGCTGCTGACAGCATAGCAGCTTGAGTTGTGACTACTCAGCTCTCAAAGGGGGGGTATAAGCACCACCAATCTAATCAGCTCCATTCTCTTCCTCCCATTAACTCTAACAATGTTTATGTTTCTCAGCAGGGGGATTTTGCGTCCATCTGAATACCTTGGTGTCTGTTTTTTACATGCTTGTCTCCATGGGGGGGAAACCGACACTCTACATATTAAACTGTTCGATACTGGAGCTCAGAGATGTAATTGAAAGTAATGACTTTCAACTTTCTCAGTAAGTGTTGGAAGGATTAGAGTTTTTTGTTCAACCAGGAGCAGTTCTGAGATTATGCACTCGAAAAGATTTACAAACAAAATGAATAAATCAGACAAAAATGTACTTTTCTTTTGGTAGATCTATAAGAATCCATGGATTTTTTCTGATAATAAATTCTATTGAATGGTTTTACAAAAGTAACATCTAAGAGGAAGTTTAATAATCAGGGCATCTCTCAAAAATATATATAAATGCCTTTTCATTAACTTAGATCTGAATTGAATTAATGGGTATTTACCCATGGCCTCGTGAGACCATCCTGATCTTGCAAGCTTTCAAGGTTTCACTCGCAAATCAGTCTGGAGACTCTCCGTTATAGGAAATTTGGAGCCGTTCACCAAACGAACGTACAATCAGCGTTGGCTTTGAGGCGGGTTGAGGTGTGACGCAACGACAGTTCAGTCTAAAGAACATGGCGGCTTCAGCCGATGAAACTAGAGTTAGCGTGGCTATCAAGCAAGTTTTATCGTAATTACAGAGTATTTCTTTACTGAAAGAAGAGCAAAACACTGCTCTGGAGGCTTTTCTCAGAGGAAAAGATGTTTTTGCTCTTCTCCCGACTGGTTTCGGCANATGTTTTTGCTCTTCTCCCGACTGGTTTCGGCAAGAGTAGCCTGGCTTGTGGTCGTGTTTTCGTCGTCGGTCTGTTAGTACGTCATATGCTTCGTTGATCTGATTGGTTTATTTAGCCCGTCTATCACCAACATAGGCCAATCAGCTAACCAGTATTTTTGCCCCTTCCCAAAATCACTTCAACGGAAGGTTTCCAGATGGATATGCGGAACAAATCCATCTGGCGGAGTCAGGTTAATTTACCCAAGGTCCATTTCACAAAGCATTTTTTATTATTATCAGAGTTTTTTTTATTATTATCAGAGTCAGGGAATAGGATTAAAGGGAGGGAAGACATGCAACAATGGTCAATAGACTCTAACTTCTGAACGAGGGGTCACACTCATGACCCAGGAAACATTGCCACACCCCTTAAAAGCAGGTTTAACAAACTGATAGTGAATTTCTTGATCTATCCTGAGGTTGGACACTGAGTTTTCGGTTTCCAGCCATAAGAAGGTTTACTTGAAGTCAAAAGCATACCACTACAACTATAAAAAGCCATCATCAATGGAGCCTCGAATAGACAAGTAAGTCACCATGACAACAGAGAAGAAGTCTAGCTATTTTCCACCATTGGAATTGGGGGTTTTAATGCAGAATTAAAGAAAATATTGAAAAATGTGAGCAACAGGGCTACAGATTCAACAGAGATGGTGTAGCATAATATTGCTGCTTGAGTCAATGTGTAAGTTTATATGTAGTCTTCTATATCAGGCTGTTTTGACATTTATTAAAAGCACTGTACTCTGTGTTGTACCATTTTTTGTTCACTAAAATAGGAATATTCCTGGTCAAAAACTCATTCCAAGTCAGAACCCTAATAATAGAGTACCTAAAATAGATTTTTACAAGCAGAAACTGAATTTTAGAATGCCAATAAAACAAAATTGTTCAAGTAAGAATTGAGTTTTGGATACCTAGGAAGGTTTACACATTTTAAG